TTATTAAAAAATAAATATTTTAAAAATATTATAAGTTTATATTTTATTTTATAAAAATTCTAATAAATAAATTTAATTTCATAAATAATCTATAATATAATATAGAACAGAGTAAATAAATAATAAGAGATAAACACTATAAGATAAACACTATGATATAAAACAAACTATATAAGACAAAAATACACTGTGATTGATGCTTTTTGTTTTTGTTATACAGATTTTGAACGGAATAGATAAATATAAATAGGGGTCGATAAAAGCAAAATGCTATATAAATTATTTTCTATAAGCTACTAACCAATATTGTATCAAAAATGTACCTCTAAATGCATTAAAAAGATAATTCTGATACACCTTGCTTTAAACGATCTCTTAAATAAATAAATACTATATGAGATAAAAATGATCTGCAAATGGTATTTTTTTCTATTATACAGATCTTAATTATATAGAATATACAAATATATTATACTATACTAAAAACCTATATTATACTGAACTGTTTTTGTTACGCTAGAAGAATTATAATTAAAGCCTGTGGTTATATTACTTTCATGGTTTAATACCATTTAACATGTCATTCAGCATTTCTTGCATAGTGATTTTTTTAGAATAATTACTTTTTATCATATTATATTTTTAATTTTATTTGATAATGGCATCATTTTAATACACATATAATCACATATTCTATTGTTATTTGAATTGTTTATTTTGCTCAACTTAGTTTTTTTTTTTTTTTTGGTATTAAGGTGGCCTCTTGGCCGGCTCTTTTTATTCGGTTATAGTTAACTTTACAATATACGTTTATAGCATCTCGTATACATATTTGGAGAGTTATATACTAGTCACACATACAACTTTTGGTTGCCTATTTAAGTAATTTTGCTCAACTTAGTATCAACTAACAAAACCTAAAAACATAGCAAATTAGTTAAATCCTAAAAAAAGAATAAAACTATTTTTTAAACCTACTTTTTGAAAACTAACAAAAAATGTCAGTAAGGCAATTTTACTATAAACACATTTATCTTATTTATAACCTAACCATTTCACTAATGTTAATTAAAAATTAAATTTATATAGTTGCATATAGCTTTTAACAATCTCCAATAATAAATTATAATTCATATAATATAACTATATATCAAGAAATGCAAATCAAATGTTTGTTTTGTCAAAACTTAGTTAGATCTCAAAAATTCACTTAAGAAACCATCTTCTACGTATTAACAAAAAGCTTTCCTTGACCGAGTTTACTTAAGAACTTTTAAATACATGGTTTAACTTTCAAATTTAAATAAACTTTAAGAAATTTGCTCACGAGTAACATTTTCAAGTGATGCTGAGAAAGTTGCCTAGATTGTATCAGAAATTTACAAATATTTTTTTCTAAGTTTGTACAATGTAAGATTCTCTAACAGGTACTTTTATTTACACAATTGTTTCGTTTATTAGTATTAGTTTATTTTATCTTATTGATCATATCCTGAAAGCATATTTTGTAAGATCTTCAGGTAACACAAAAGGTATCCATATTTTACGTTAAACTAGTATTGTTATATAGACCATCATAAGTTACTATATAAATAATACCTCTTAGTATTATCTTCAAGATCTCTAATACTATACAATATATTACATTTCTAACATAAATGATGGATACCCTTTTTTTTCTTAATTCAGCGGTCCTGCCTATTACTCTTTATTGGGAAGTACCAGAACTTATATTAACAGAGAGATACAATTTTCTATACTATATTCCACGTGAGTAAAGATCAACTCAAGCTAAGCTTAGAAAATAACCCACCTAGCAGCAATTGGCTTCATATTGGATTCTTAACTTACTGAGGATATGAACCTCTGATCCTTAGTCCTAGCAGCTACATGTTTCATCAAAAGAGCCAAATTAACGAAAGCACAAACACAAAAGAAAAAATAAAACAGAAGTAAAGAGGAGTACGATAAAAGATACAAACAAGAAAAAAAAAAGGGGTAAGAGGATATTGAGAAAAAGAGAAAAAAAAATTTTGCCTATTCTAATGATCACTATTATGAGCCCATGAACGGCTTATAAAAATTATATACTACTAAATAAAATAATCTCTACTTTAAATTTATCTGAATAGTATATGAAAGCTCAAAACCAGTAGAAAATACTTCTTCGACCATAGAATGTAGGGGTTGGTACTCGATCCAAGTCATAGAATATTGCTTAATCAGATTGTTGCATTCAAGGCACATGCCTTGACGTGTTTGTTGTCCTGTTGTACTGATTTAGAAAGTAAACAATGCCAACTGTTTTGGTGTATGTGATGTTGATCTTTCAGAGAGGGTAAGCGAAAACGCCCACTTTTTACAAAAATTTTCTTGAAAAAAAGTGGTGGGCCAACGAAAGTATGTGAGGTTCTTCTTGTAAGAGTTACAGTAATATAGTCTAGTTCCTCTATTTCTACTAGATATTCTTCCACAGAGACCCACAGGGACATTGTTCCCAAAATATCTTTTTGGTTTGGATATCGAAGGTATGGGGGAGTTCACTTTTTTTTTTCTTGCTATTCCCAGAAACTTCTCCGGTTTGGATGCTGAACGCATAAAGGAGTTCACTCTGATAACTTAGAAAGAGGCTTGACTTCTGTGCAAATTGTCCACAACACCTGTGTCTTGATATATCATGTTTAAGAACTTTGTCGACAACAGCTTGTAAAAAAAGGAGCTTGATCATGATACCGGACCCACTTTTTGTTTATACGTCTGCTTCTTGGTGTTTCATGTATATAAGTTTAGTCGATAGCAAGTATGAAAATATAAACCAAGAGTATCGTAGTGTCCACTTTGTCGCTTTTCTATAATTTTAACTGTAGTTCAGTTTTTTTGTTGTTAACCAAGAGATCGTTAGAAAGAGTTGTTAATTTACGAATGCCTCTTTTTTGCTAATGATGCAGATCACTTTTTTAAATAGTATCCAAAATTAATTATAATCGTAAATCAATAACGTGATATATTTCTAGCATATTTACCACTTTTTTAAAGATTTTTTTTGTTTTTCTTTTCTTACCTATTATTAATATACCATTTTCTGCTATAGAACTATTAAACATTTATTCTTCATTAAAGGAATCTAATAAAGATATGAATCAAAGATTTCTAGTACAACAATTAAGATATACATGTGAGCATGAAATGCAGAAAAGTGAACCTAACATAAAGTTGATTGCTCAACAAGAAAGAATAAAGTGTGAATGAAAAATGCAAATGCTTGAAACTAAACCTAATAGTAGAATTATTGCTCAATAACAAAGTAGCTCCTGTAAACAAGAACCACAAATTTTTGTAATTGAGCTGAATAAAAGAGCTATTGCTCAACAAAATAGAAGAGAAGGTGAAAGAGCTGAGAATTCAGTAAATCAAAGATCTATCTCTCAACAAAAAAGAAAAAAAATGCAAAAGAGAATTTAAAATAGTAAACCAAAGAAACGCATCCCAACAAGCTAGAAGAGAATGTGAGAGAACTGAAAATACAGTAAATAAAAGATCAATTGCATAACAAGAAAGAAAGCAACATAAAAGAAAAGTTAATGAACAACAAGCTGGAAGAGAAAGTGAGCGAGCTAAAAGAGTATATACTATACTATACAATGAATTAACTACGCAACTTCAGCAAGAGAATGTAAGACATAATCTTGGATGTATGGATGCAGTTTGTGTTCATTGTAGAGTACTCTATTGGTTAGATGAACGTTTGGTAAACTCTTTAAAGACAAATCTGAAATTTAAAAAATGTTGTAATCATGAGCAAGTTATTCTTCCACTTCTTTGTGATCTACTGCTTCTAATCTGACATTTTTTCAAGGACCAAGATGAACAATATAAGAAATTTCATATAAATATTTAGCAATATAATATAGCACACATGTTTACTTCACTTGGAGTAACTATTGACCATGCAGTTCTTGATGAACAGTCACTATATGTTTTCTGAATTCATAGCGAATTATATTATTGCTCAGGTTCTCTTATTTTAGATTTTTTCTTGGATGCGACTTATGCACAACTTTATATATATGATTCAGATGTTGTTTAACAATTAAGAACTGGTTATAATAGGAATTTAAATAGCCAAACTATTTGAAAATTACAAGAAATTCTTAGAGATAATCACGTTTTTTATTATATTTATCATAAGCTCATGAAATTTTTTCTCAAATGTACAGAGAAAGTAACTCTGAAAATGATTTAGCTGTCTATCATTATTTCAATAGTGCAATGGACAGACGCCAGTATAATCTGCTAACTTCAGGTAAAATAGCTATTATTTTACCTGGTGATAGGTCAACTCCTAAAGCAATACGCAATATTGTATTCCATTTACATAGAGGTCTACTCAAGCACATTCATGAAGGCTATCCTGCTTATTTACTTCTTCATTATGTATTTTTTTTTTCTTATAGAGATCTCATTTAGCACGCAAAATACGTCAAACTTTACTTAATAATAATGGATATCCTTTCAAAGATCAAAGCAGAGCACCTCATCTCACATAGATAAATTTTTTACTTCTTTTGTTTTTTTTCACATTGTAACGAGTTTTCTACTATTCTTCATAGTGGAAAATTGTTCTAAAAATTCTTGGTTAATGCTTGGGTAGCAACAAAACAAAATCACCTAAGATATTTATATTTAAATCAGAGTTCATTATGAGCGAATGCATATCAAGGGCTAGCTAACACAGTGGGAACTGTTGCAAATAACAAATTAAATCTGAATAATCTTGGGTAGCATATAATTCTTTTTTTATCATATATTGAAAGTGCTCGGCATATGTTTGAGATTTTTCAAGATTCCCTAGCCATAACTTGATTCTATCACTATCCTGATATTTTTGGAACTATGATAGCAAATCCTAATTGGCCAAAAATTATTAACGAATTACTACCTGGCCAAATTTCTGCAAATAGGTTTGACTTGGTGGCCTATGTATTTAAACTTAAGCATCATGCTCTTCTCAATGATATAAAAACTAACAATATTTTTGAACAAGTTGCGGTTTACGTGTATATAATTGAATTTTAGAAATGTGGCCTACCTTATATACATTTTTTGATCTTTCTTCATAGTAATGATAAAATAAGAGAGCCTAGTGATGTTGATCATATTGTAAGCACAGAGTTTCCTGACCCAGATTCTGATCCTATTCTTTTTAAAATAATATTGTGCTGTATAATTCACAAATCTTGCAGAGACTGTAATCATCAGACACTATGTATAGAAAATAATATATGCAAAAAAAAATATTTAAAGAACTTTTGTAATATAACGACAATAGATACAGATGGATATCCACATTATATCAAAAGGAATGATAAGTATAGCTATATTGCTGGTAGCAAAACTGTTGATCATAGAGATGTTGTTCTATATAACCCTACTCTTAGTTAAAAATATAACTGTTATATAAATATTGAAGTTTGTACTTCTGTTAGGGTATATATGCTGACTAACTATACTGTTCTATTTGTAATACTATATTTTCTGGTTATTTTGCAT